TGCATGACAGAATCCTAATGAAGTAGTTGGAAAAAGCAAATCACTGCACATGTAGTCACACTTTCCCCTCCCTTTGGAGGAACCCCCCCACCACCACCTTTGCCGACCGCCACCCCCACCCACCCACAGCACACACATTTCATCAGCCCACACTGTGGACCAAGAACCTGCTGGGTTTCCTCATGGAAAGATAACATCTTGTTACACTCTGGGCATTTCCCAAATGGCTCCATCTCCAGGCATTCCTCAGAGTCTTTACCCTATATGACTCTCAAATTGGCCACACGTTTCTATCCACATCGTATTTCTTACCATCCCCAGCTTCAGCAAAGGGTGTGGCCCTTCACACAGCAAACATCCGAGTCCCCATATTTAAATTGCATGGAAAAGGGGAAAAAAAACCCCAAACTTCACTGTTCTATCACCTTTGTTTAAAAATGGACCATTCTGTTTTCATGGACAGATGAAGATTCCAAACGGCCTCATAAAAATAACCTCTGAATTACTAGTTTCAGTGAATCGGACCCAAAAAGGCAACATGGGAAGGACAGGAAAGAACAAGAATTAGGGAAGTAAGAACCCATTAACAGACCAGTCCTGCACTGGCGACTGTCTGTGGCTGCTGATAGAGATGTGTGTCTCATGGCAAGGCCAGAGTGTAAAATGAAAAAGACAGATCTTTAAAACTCATTGAAAAAAAAAAAAAAATCAAGCAGGTCTGCCAGCTCGGTCCAGAAAGAGAGAGAGAGAGGAGGGACACAGCAGTGGCAGGAACCTCCAATTCCTGACCAAACCCTCTTGCACACAATGCCTCCAGAAGGCAAAGGAACCCGGGCGGGGGCCAGCCTGCCGCTGGCGGACGGACAGGGCTGGCGGCGCAGGATGTCGGAGCGCCAGGCGGCCGCCGAGATACCGGGCGTTCACACACCCGCCGGCGGGCTGCCGGGCTCTTCAGGTAATTAAACGAGGAAGCGGGGTGCTGGGGGCGGGCCTGACCCGAGGCTCCCCGGCGCCCCGGGCCTGCAGACCGACTTCCCCGAGAACAGCCCGGAGCATCAACAGGGCGGCTCTCTCCTCTTCCCTGCCCGTTCCCTTCTGCACCTCTTCCTAAAGCTGACCCAGAAACACATCCTCTCCACAAAAGCAGCCACACCAGGCTCGCAGCCTCTGTGCTGCAGAAACCTTTGTGCTGTTCCCTGCCAGGATCCTCCAAATTTTAAATAGCAAAAAAAAAAGCCTGCCCTCATGGCAGGAACTTGTCAAGATTCATCTAAACCAAATCTAGGTAAAAACAGGGGCATCTTCAGCAAGATGTGTTATTCAAAAAGAAAACTACCCCGCTAATCATGTGTCTTCGTTTGGACCCGATTAAAGTATGAATCTTTTTACCCTCAGAAAGCTCCCCCAAGAAGTCACTGATTTTGATAATCCAGTTCACAAATGAAACACTGGTTGTATGGTGTAATGAATACTGTTCTTTTCCGTTTTGATAACAAACATTATGGTAAGCAAATACCACCTATGGTCTGGTTTATTACGTCTCATCCAAAATCATAATTTTTTTAAAAACTCTAAAATGTTTCTGCTCTACAAAGAAAGTCACTATGAAAACTCAGGAATATTAATTAAAAACAAATCCCTTAAAAGATAAGAAAGTAGAACACACACATTAAGTAATGATTAGAATCATATAAATAATATATTCTTTCTTCATCTCAGAATCCACAGAGTAAAATATTGGCTGAAAGAGACAGAGACCAAAAGAGAGATGAATACAAAAGCATGCCTGCTTGTCTGTGTTCAACACAAAGAACATTAAATGAAAACAACTGGCATGCTGCCAAATTCCTATAGAGGCAAAGAGATTCAAATAAATTGATTTCACGCATCACACTGACCTGGGATCAGTGTGCAGTGCTACAATAAGCTCAAAGCTCCATGTGGGGTAAAGCCCATTAATGCTATCAGACCTCTCAAACATGACCAAGAAAAACTAAAAATAAATGCAAATGCTCTCAAAACTCAGCAATTTTGCTTAAGAAAATAACCTTCTTCTTTTGCTAATAAAGATACAAATATCTGAAGGTACACAGCACCATCTAAATTTAGCACTTTTATTTTTAAAAACACAAGTGTGGCTTTTGAAACACATACAGTATCTTAAAATTGGTACTAATAAATATCCCATCCCATGATTTGAACATAAATACAAACTACTTTGCAACAAGTTTCCTGTGTCATAACTGCTTCCATTCTAATGCCCACGCATCTTTTAGATGACCAGTTAATTTTTTTGTATGACAAATACTGGACCCTTTCCTTAACGGCTTATAAGAGCAAGCTCCTCAGGCTCGATACCACTCCTAACTGTCCCAGATCTGCCCAGTTCTCACAAAGACACAGCTGTAGAAAATGGAACACTGCATATTTAGGAGATGCTTTAAAATACTAGGGGGAACATAGCAGCATTTTGCCTTTATCATAAGCTCCTACCGGAGCTGGTGACTGTCCCTAAGGCATCATTTCTCTCCTGGCCTCCCGAAAGAGACAGGCTTGTCTCCTGGTGACCCCAGCCTGGCTTCAAACTCATCACAGGGACCAGACTCTCTAGCACCACCTCAGGCCACTGTCGCTTACTGCCCCAACTGTTCACAGGCTCTAGTTCTTTGTTTTTTCTGCTTCCAGATTACAACCCCAACAGTCCAAGGGACTCCACGTTTTTTTGTAAATTTAAAGTATGTGATTTCTGTTTATCTCTACTTCTTGGCTCAAACCCCATATTTATTTATATACACCCACTACCATCACACCAAAAAGAAAAAACTAGGAGTAAACTTTTCAATGCCACATGAAACATAAAGAAAACCCAACAGTTATAAAATAAGCAAACACACACAATCAGACACATATATGCACATATATGTGTGTGTACATACATGTGTATATATACTGTGTGTGGACACACACATCATTTTAAGTATGCACACCCACACACACAAGAAAGAGAGAAACTCAGCATGGTGTTTTTGATACCTGATGCTGAGGCTTGGTATTTGCATATTATAACAAATAAAATGCATTAACTTGTTTTAAAATATGTCTCTGTCAAGCATTTTTACTTTAAATGTGAATCTTCCATGCTGCAATGGTCACAGAGATATGCCACGTGATGGGAAGAAAGCATGGTTGTAATGGTGTGGGGGTGGGTAAAGACCCTGATGCAACATACCTGCAATACACACTCAAGTTTTAAAATCCAATTTTCTTTTCCAATTTGAAGCCTGCACCTTATATATCTTTATCATACTGTTAAACCCCATCCCCATACAGATACAGAAGGCAGAAAGCAGAGAAGTATATCCTCTGTGGGACAAAGTGCTTTCTTCTGATGGAAGATGAAGGGAAAGCAATTCTAAAGCAAGGGTTGCTGTCATTATTACCCAGTTTGTTTCCTTTATGCTATTAACACCTTCCTTTCTATGCTGGACTTGAGAAATCCTGTTGCTTATTTTTCCCTCTTGAATCTCCCTCCCACCTCCCGCCATTCCCTCCCCTCTAGGTTACTAGGGAGCCCCAGTTTGAGCTCCCCGAGTCACAGAGCAAATTCCCACTGGCTCTCTGTTTACATACGCTAGTGTCTATGTTTCCGCCCACTCTCTCCATTTGTCTCACCCTCTCCCTCCTCTCTGGACTTGAGAAATCTAACCAACAAAGATTTGAGTTCTCAAAAAATTAATTTCTGGTAATAACGGTACGTTGGTAGGAAGAGAGACGCAGAAGTGAGAGATGTCTCAGCTGCTCAGTAGGCTGAGTTCCTTGTCTTCTTTTTTGAACTGATGTCTCACTAATTACGGTAGAAGAACATCCTACCAGGATGACGGGGGAAATGAAGACAAATACAGAGAGAAACTAAAGCATGACTTAGGTTATCTCAAAGGAGCCTATAACTGTACAGAGAATCATTGCACTTTCTCTGGACTTTCAACAACAAAACACCCTCATCTGCCAATACCTTCTCGGAAACTTGAAGAACAAACCAGTAAGTCTTCAAAGGAACCACAAGCATAGATGTCATGTGTGTGCTGGGGGTGGGGGTCGGGGGGTGGCATCTGTGTTTCCAGAACACTGGCCATGAAAGGTAAACATTTTGCTACCCTCTTTTCCATACAGTCAAGCAGGCAGTCACAGGACTTCAAAAACCCCCTCCTAATCACTAGATTGCCAACCAGTATCAGAGAACATTTGTGTTACCTCTCAATCCTTTCTTAGCACAGTTTATCTTTAGTCATCTGTACTTCTTTTCCACTCCACTAAGCCTGAAGCAGAGCTGGCTGCTGGAGGCATCGACTCTCTGGAATTCATAACACAGGGCTGTCCTTAATTATTAAATGTTGCAGACTTTAAGAAGTCACTTGCCAACTGGGAAACAGTTTACATGTTGTTTATAGTTTTCCTAAAATTAGATATCACTTTTTTTCTTTAATGTGCCTATGGACACATTAAAATGAATTCTGCTTAGGAAACGACATTCACCTACAAGTTTTTGTTTTTTTTTTAATCCAAATCAAGCAGAAGAAACAATAAATTGAAGAGCATTTTTCCCTCTTTAGTCAACAAACTGTTTCAGAAAATACCATCTCTAGTTACAATAAACACAGAAATCATGGCATAGTTTTTACTCTTTAACTCCAAGTACCGCTCATCTTATAACAGACGTATTACAAAATATGGCAAGAAGCACAGGAACAAGAAGAGGGGTAAAAACAAAATTGGTACTTAATCATTTGCTCTCAAACAAGGGATCTCACAGCCAATCCCATACCCAAAGATTTCAAAGACAATTTTTTAAAATATTTAACACAAATTCTTTATCAACCGGCACTAGAAAAATAAAGAAGAGAAAATGAAAATCTTCACAAGAATAATTAGAAAAAAAAACAGAAGACTGATTTTTCGCATGTAAGTAAATCACAAAGTCAAAATATTTGTCTGTTCCTTACCTTGACAATATTCAAAGTTTCCCTTTTTCCGGCAGTCACCTATTACTAAACTCAGTGCTCTCCAAGTGTTTCTTTTGACAGATATCATTCTCCACCAATCGCTCTGCTAATTTCCTCTCTCCTTTTCTGACTGGGACAGATATTATGTTCACCAGCCCAGAGATCAATCTTTTCTATTGACAACAACAAAGGGGAAAAAAAACGCATATATCACAACCAGTCTGAAGTATTACACCCATCTACTTAAAATACTAGGCCAGTTTTGTTTAACAAACAGATACAAGCCCTTCTAAATTTTAGAGAAATCCGAAACAATTCCCATTTTCTGATTTCCTCCAGGCCTCTCAATTCTCCAATCATCTGACTCAAAGCTGGATACTACTCTTCTTTCCTTAAGTTGGATCTAAAACATGCATACATCAATACCTTAAAAGAACGCTTTAGATTTTACCCATTTTATTTTTTTAAAATTAATCTGTCAGTGATAGTTTCTTTAGAAAATGCTTTTAGACACTGCGTTTTTTGTTTTATTTTTCTGGAATTTTACATGCAAGTTAAATCACATTTCAAAACAACGTGGTATCCCCCTTGTTTCACTGTTCTGAAATTTATATACTGCCATCATTCCGAAACAACTAATAGCAGTGACTAATAATCTTTATGCAACCAACCAGTTTGAAAATATAGTAACAACAATTGTTAGTGAATCATTTCACCAAATAAACCAACTTCTACTACTTTTTATTTTTCCCTACAGCAATCCAGATATTCTCATTTGTCCTGCTTAGATTTGTCAGGCTTAAGTTCATTCATTCATTCCCAAACATCCACTATTTATCACTCACCTACTATTACTAGTACCACCACTACTCTGAATAGAACAAGCATTACTATTTAGTTCTTATAATCTATGAGATATAAATCTAGCACAATCATGTGCACATAAAGCAATAACTCAATAAATGCAAAAGAACAGATTTATAAAAGCAGTCTCAAAATATTACTAAGGCTATTATTGCTATTTTTTAAGAGACCAAACTATTCCCCAGAAATTGAAATTGGTGAATATACATACTCTAATGTACATAAATAAGCAGATTCTATTATTTTTTTAAAAGCAAGGCCCTTTATACACATTACGACTCTTCTATCATGTAATCAGTTGTTTCTCATTCTTAATGGCAAAATTTAAACATATATATATTGTAAACAGAAGATATATAAGTACTGTTGGGAAAAAGAAGGACATGGATACTTTTCTTAGATTCAGGTATGATTTCTGATAATATTTAGTGCCTCAACAACATCAACAAAAAGCCCTGGAGAGGCTGATGCAGTAAATCCTACCTGTGTGGGCCATATTGAACAATCTCCATTAAACAAATGAAGGAAGCCAAGTCCATACAAATCCCCTAGAGTCTAAGTCTTTTTCCTCCTCCTCATGACTGCTAAACACCAGACTACTGTCTGGGTTTATTATCAAAAATGGTATAGTGGGTCTCAGTTTTGAGGCACATAAAACTACCATGTGGATAAAACTTTTATAAGATAAATCTCTCAATTATAAATGATCTCCCAGTATAGAATATACTGTTTCACTTTTTAACTTCACATGTGTCTGTTTTAATGGGAGTATTTTGAAGTGAATGGAGAAAAGTTGGCAGGAAGATAGTATTACAAAGTATTTCAAGTGTACATGTTTTCCTTAAATGTTAGCATGGCATACAAATACACATTGAGGAAACACACAACGTAAACCCCAAGTTACCCCTGAGAATTCTTCCTACTCAACAATTTTTATATATGAAACATTATATCACAGTCAATAAGATAATTCACCTAAAAAAGGGGGGCGGAGGTGCTAATACTTGGATTTCTCAAAATAATGATTGGAGTATTACGTTCGTGCTTCATACCTAGAACACAATAAATGGTCTTTTGATATAAAATAACAATAAAATGAGTAACGGTCATGAGTACTAAAGAATACACATTCAGATTATTTGTGATACTTACATACTAAAGTCTATATCACATGCAACTGAAATTTCTCTATCTTTAATATTGCTTTGTTCCAATCCTCAGCCATTGAACCTGTAAAATCTCATCATGAAGTGAACATACACAGAGACCAGTTTAAAAGCTAAACTCTACCAAGAGTAGAATGCCTCAAACAATTTGTAGTTCTACAAGAGTGTTATTAAAAAGGCTCAACATGTTGTATTACCATGGAAATTGTGGAAAACATACATTCCCAAACAAATATTACTTTTTCTCAATGGTATGAAGTAATGAAAACCACATGTGTAAATCTGCGATCCGTGCAGTAGTTCAAGCTGCAGCTAATAGAAAATACAGAAAGTGAACTCTGCTATATAAAGGATTCTTGTTACAGAAATATAATGTGAAAACCAGATGCAGACAGAAAATCTTAATCACAGATGGGAATGTAATCACTGGCATACAGAATACTTTTTTGATCAATCTTAACCATATGTGCAATGTATTTATTTTCTAAGGAATGCAATAACTTGAGAGAACCTTCTATTTGAATTCAGTTAACCTCATATTTATAATGCTTTTATCTTACTCCCCCACCCCTTCAATGTGTACACTGAGCCAAGGTTTTAAAAGGAAGAGTTGCTGGCCTTGGCAAATCCTTCTTGTATCAGTTTATCTTTCAAAGTTTTAATAGGATGTAAAAGACTACACACATAAGAATCAACCTCAAAAGCGATCAAGTGCAGTTCCCCATTACTGTGTTTCTCAATCACTGCCAGGAATCCCCTTGCTGCCTAAACACATTTCTCTTTAGAATTACATCAACATTTGGGGCTTTTCCTTTAGTAAATAAGACACAGCTATTCCAAAAATGAGGATTTAACACACCTCTTTTTATCAGTCTGAAGCAAATCAACTCTTAATCTATTTCTTTTTACAAAAGCATCTTGTAACATAAAGACTGTCCCTCTACTTTAATAAAAATACAAGTAGTTTTCTGTTCCACAAAGGAACCCACGATATCATAACCGACTTAGAAAACATTTTATCTCAACAAGCACAGTCCCTAGTACTGGGCTGTAGCCTACACTTGTCAAGGCCTCCACAATCTCATTTGTAGGACAATTCTGTATCCCCCTGGTTTGAGACAGCCTCACTTAAGACAACATTCAACTTCTAACAGGAAGTGATTGGGACACTGTTATTTGGGTGTCCCTCACCAGAGGTCACAAGAACTAAATTTCAAGACTCCAACTGCACAGGATTCCTTAAGCTTCTGTGACACATGCCCATCCTGAGTATCCTCTCCTCTAACTACTCACTCCTGATACGCACAGAAGCACACAGTCCTCCTTCTTGCTTCATTCTGACATTCAAGAGCCACCACGAGTTGGCACTAATCTGCACCTTTTCAGCCTCTGCTCCATCCATCCCCCTAGAGGGGCTCCATCCATCCCCCTAGAGGGTGCAGCTCTTCAGTGGATAAACTCCCATAGATGCATCATCTCATCTTTATGGGTTTGTCCATTAACTCCTCCAGACTGATGGATGGCCAGCTTCTCCTCAACTCAGGTTTCACTCAAGTATAACCTCAGAGACAGTTTCCCTCCTGTCCAAAGTCAAGTCTCTCCATTACCAGCAGCCACCCCCACCCTTCTCTCCAACATTGGTTTTTTAATTGTCTTCACTGCATTTAACACCACGGTAAATAATCTTACAACTGCTTCTACTGTATGCCTCCTACTCCTAAACTATAAGATCTATTAGATAGGGGTCTTGTCTGTTTTCCTCATTAATCTTCCATACTTAAAACTGTACTTGGCACCTAAAGAGAATGAAATAAAGGAATTCCACCTAATAAAATGCTATTAAGGTCCAATTCACACCCAATGACCATCACAAACATTTCTGTGACCACTCCCAAGGCTTATGATCATTCTTTCTTCTTTAAATTGTAACAGCATTTATGGTCTATATCAAGCTGGGCAACCTTTATCTTCCAGATTCTGTTCATACGAACCCATCCCCATCAATACTGTACAAATATAGGCCGTGATGGAAATCATACAGGGCATCCACAGCTGAGAAGCCAGCCCTCCCTCCCAGAGCAAGCACTGGGAAACCACAATTAAGGACTGCAGGCAGCATTAAGCCCATGCACCCTTTAAGGTTTTTATGCATAGACTTATCCCCCAATTTAGTTTACCAAGTGGGTTTCCTGCTGGAAAGGGATCCCATCTTATTCTCCTTCTGTCTTCAGACCTTACCTTGATGCAATATATGCATTTTGTTGTAACGGTCATGAGAGAAGGGGCCAGGTGTACTCAACAGTCTTTAAACCCAGTGCCTGACTCATAGAAGTTCACTCAATACTGGCTGAGAGAACAAAGGAATAAAGGATAACTGACACTACCTTGTCTTCCTTCCAGCTTCTTCCTCTTATTGTGATAAAGCACTATTTTAAAATACTTCAGATATTTAAAGATTAAAAAATTAAACAGAAAGCAGGTGACCGATCTATGAATTATTTATAGTCAAGGTGACAACATAGGGTGATCAATAAGTTAACCAGGCAACTGAAAATAGCAGGAAGCTCTGAAATATCTCCTCTGCTATAATCTTCAATAAAATAAAATCTCCTAAAATGACTGTTCCTTACCTGCACTGACCACTTGGAAGCCCACTCCACACAAATGGACTGGAATGTCAGGTCTTAACACTTACTAGCTATTTGACCTTGAAACAAGTCATTTAACCTTTCTAAGCTTTAGGTGTAAATCTCTACAACAAGATGATTACACCTAACTCACCAGGATGATATGAAGAGATAATCAATTGAGAGCAGAAAGGAGGCAATACCTATTTTAATATTATCTAAAGCATTAAGGCACGAGTTCACTATTCAAAAATGACCTAGTGCGATCACAACATCTTCTTTTCTGAGAGTCACGGCTGTGCTAAATTATGATCAGTCAACAATACCAAAATATGTGGACGTAAGCTGCAGGTCCCAAAACATTTTGCAGGGGGGAAAAATAAAGAAATAACTACAAGCTAAGGCTGCGTGATTCTTTTCCTCATCTAATT